CTTCAGGGCCCCTAGGTCTGGGGAGGGAGAGTGGAACTCCAGCCACCCAGGGGCTCCACTCTGAGAAGCTTTTCCTTAAAGGCAAGCTTTCTGCAAAAGTGTTTGGCATTTGCCAAACGAAGTCTTTCATCTGGAAAGGGTGCAGCTGCCTGCTCTGACTCCTCGAGTGTGATTCCTGCCAAGTCCATTTGACTGGTGGCAGCGTTTCCAGGCTGCCCCAGCCTCCCTTTCCCAGCAGACTTCCTTTCCTGGAAAAACCACTACCCATATTTGTTGCACCCTGTCCCTAAGCCAGCTCCCCCAGCCCTGCTGCCTCTCTGCTCTGGCAGTACTGACATGCACTCCACCATGCCCACACCACAGTTGCTTTCTTCTTCCCCGCAGTATGGCAGTGGGACCCCTCAGCATCCCCAGAGTGGCCTAGGAGATGGCCCATCCCCTGGAAAGGTCATCACTCAGCAGTAGACAGAAGAGGGCACCTCTGGACTGGTTGCAGTGGGGGCTTGAGCATGCCCTGCTCCACAGCCAGTTCCCACCATTCTGCTTCAGTTTGTGCCCATTGCCTCTTGTCCTGTCACTGGCCACCACTGGAAAAGGGTCTGGCCTCATCCTCCTGACACCCACCCTTAAGATTTTTATAAGCATGTGTAAGATTCACCTCTCAGCCTTCTCTGCTTCAGGCTAAACAAGCCCAGATCCCGCAGCCTTTCCTCAGAGGAGAGATGTTCCAGTGCCCTAGTCATGTTTGTAGCCCTCTGCTTAACTGTCTCCAGGTTATAGGGGTCCACTGAGACACCCTGCGAGCTGCAAACTCTGCAGGGAGGGAAAAGTGCTGGAAAGAGGGCACAGGGCCTCTGCCCACTCTGCAGAGCCCTTGCTGGTCATTAGCAACTGCTGTGTCCCTTCCTCATTTTGCAATCCCAGCTCCACAGAAGAACTTTCTTGCTGTGGTGTGGTCAAACATTGGAATAGGTTGTTCAGAGAGGTTGTGAAGTTACATCTGTGGAGACAGTCAAAACCTGTCTGGACATAGTTCTAGACAACACGCTCTATCTGAGCCTGCTTGAGCAGGAGCACTGGACCGGGTATCTCCAGAGGTGCCTTCCAACCTCAGTGATTCTGTGATGCTGTGAAATGCTTAGCTCAGGGCACAGCAGCAACATCAGCCCCTGGCCCGCAGGAAATTTGAGGTTCCTTCAGGGCCAGCCGACAGAGACCCTGAATTCAATTTTCCCCCATCACCCCAATGGCCTTCCGCCCATATCTTCCCTAGGGTCATGCTGCAGTCCAGTGCAACCCCTGTGCGCACCCCTGCAGGAGCACATTTCCAGCACTACCCAATGGGTCTTTCCGGAGCAGCTCTCACTTCTTAGGCAAGCATGTTGAGAGTGTGCTCTGGGCGCTGTGGCTTCTCTCCGCTCCTTTCCCCCAGAGTTGTTTGGGAAATGCCTCTCCCCCTCAGAGAGGACACTGACCACCTTCGTGATCATCAGGGCCTGAGAGACTTTGGGAGCCATGACACCCTGTTCCTGTGTTCTGGCCAAGGCCAGGAGGGACTCTGCCTCCCAGCTGGAGCAAGTCAGCAAGCTGCAGGTGGCAGGCCCTGGGCTCTGGGGAGCAGAATGCAAGACTCCCAGTCTATGACATTACTTGAGGCCAGCCAAGAGCATGATTTCAATTGCAGTGGGGGAAACTGCTGCCATCGTGTGGCAGCCCCACTCTCAACTATGTTGCCACCAGGTGTCCTGGGTGATGAGAGGTCAACCTGGTGAACATCAGCATGGGGCTGGTCAAGCAGTGCCTGGATGGGGCCCTTCGCCACCTGACCTGCCTGTATCTACATTGAGTTCATAGAATCATAGAATCGTTAAGGTTGGAAAAGACCTCTAAAACCATCCAGTCCAACCATCAATCCAACACCACCATGCCTGCTATACCTTGTTCGGAAGTGCCATATCTACATGTTTTTTGAACACCTCCAGGGATGGTGACTCCATCACTTTCCTGGGCAGCCTGTTCCAATGCCTGACCTCTCTTTCAGTAAAATATTTTTCCTAATATCCACTCTAAAACTCCCCTGATGCAACTTGAGGCCATCTCATCTCGTCCTATCGCTAGTTACTGGGGAGAAGAGACCAACACCTGCCTCACTACCACCGCCTTTCAGGTAGTTGTACAGAGCAAGAAGCCTCCTCTTCTCTAGACTAAACAATCTCAGTTCCCTTAGCCTCTTCTCATTAGACCTGTTCTCTAGACTCTTCACCAGCCCCATTGCTCTTCTCTGGACATGCTCCAGCAACTCCATGTCCTTTTTGTAGTGAGGGGCCCAAAACTGAACACAATATTCGAGGTGCGGCCTCACCTGTGCTGAGTGAAGGGGCACAATCACTTCCCTGCTCCTGCTGGCCACAGTATTCCTGACATAGGCCAGGATGACGTTGGCCTTCTTGGCCACCTGGGCACACTGCTGGCTCATGTTCAGCCAGCTGTCAGCCGGTAAGCCCAGGTCCTTTGCTGCCGGGCAGCTTTCCAGCCACTTTTCCCCAAGCCTGTAGCGTTGCATGGGGTTGTTGTGACCCAAGTGCAGGACCCAGCACTTGGCCTTGTTGAACCTCATACAATTGATCTCGGCCCATCGATCCAGCCTGTCCAAATCCCTCTGCAGTACCTTCCCACCCTCAAGCACATCAACATTCCTGGCCAACTTGGTGTCATCCGCAAAGATACCGAGGGAGCACTCAGTCACCTCATCCAGACCATTGACAAAGATACTAAACAAGACTGGCCTGTGGCATTTAACAGCATGGACTCCGCTTGTGTTACGAGACAAAATTTATTTTGCAAGCAGTGCTTTATACATCTTTACCTGGACAGTAGTTCCCTGGGAACTTTCTACTGTGATAAGGCAGCTATTTGCATGAGGTTCCCTATTCTACTTCTGTCCAATCTGTAGTCATATCACACATCAGGTCAGCCAATAAGGTTGCTGATCACGCACTGTCCATGCGCTGGCTGACAGTACACAACCACTGTTTTTTAATTCCTTATCATGTACTCGGCTCCTTCCGCACATCCACAAGTCCTGTTTAGGTCAGCATTTTTCTCTTCTGTTTATTTCAGCAATCTGCTTTTGTCCCTGTCCTCTACAATGGCTTCAAAACTGAGCCCTTGGGAACACCACTCGTGATCGGCCGCCAACTGCATTTAGCTCCATTCACCACAACTCGCTGGGCTTGGCCATTCAGCCAATTCTTTACCCAGTGAAGAGTACACCCATCCAATCCATGAGCAGCTACTTTCTCCAGCAGGATGATGTGATGAAAGAAAGGACCACGAAGCTTGATGTCACTGCGCTGTGAGGGAAAGGACAGACGCTGTGGCTTGCACAGGAAATCCAAAGAACTGATCATAGTATCACAGAATCACAGAATGGTAGGCATTGGAATGGACTTCTGTGGATCATCTAGTCCAAACCCCTGCCAAATCAGGATCACCTAGAGCACACTACACAGGACCTTGTCCAGGTGAGTCTTGAATATCTCCAGAGAAGGAGAATGCACAACCTCTCTGGGCAACCTGTTCCAGTGCTCCGTCACCCTCAGAGTGAAGAAATTCTTCCTCATGTTCAGACGGAACTTCCTATGCTTCAGTTTGTGCCTGTTGCCCCTTGTCCTGTCGCTGGGCACCACTGAAGAAAATCTGGCCCCATCCTCCTGACACCCACCCTGCAGATATTTATAGGCATCTATAAGGTCCCCTCTCAGCCTTCTCTTCTTCAGGCTAAACAAGCACATCTCCCTCAGCCTTTCCTCATAGGACAGATGCTCCAGTCCCCTCATCATCCTCGTAGCCCTCCACTGGACTCTCTCCAGTAGCTCCTGATCTGTCTTGAACTGTGGAGCCCAGAACTGGACAGAGTACTCCAGATGGGGCCTCACTAGGGCAGAGTAGAAGGGGAGAAGAACCTCCCTCGACCTGCTGACCACACTTGTCTTAATGCACCCCAGTATACCACTGGCCTTTTTGGCAACTAGGACACACTGCTGGCTCATGGTCAGCTTGTCGTCCACCAGCACTACCAGGTCTCTCTCGATAGAGCTGCTCTCCAGCAGGTCCACCACGAACCTGTACTGGTGCATTCAGTTGTTCCTTCCCAGGTGCAGGACCCCGCACTTGCCCTTGTTGAATTTCATCAAGTTCCTCTGCGCCCAACTCTCCAGCCTGTCCAGGTCTCGCTGAATGGTAGCACAGCCTTCTGGTGTATCCATCACTCCTCCCAGTTCTGTATCATCAACAAACTTGTTGAGGGAACACTCTAACCCTTCATCCAGATCATTGATGAGGAAGTTAAACAAGACTGGGCTGAGTACTGACCCCTGGGGGACACCACTAGTTACAGGCCTCCAACTAGACTCAGCGCCGCTGATGACAACTCTCTGAGCTCTCCCATTCACCCTGGTCTCAAACCACCTCACCGACCTCTCATCCAGCCCATACTTCCTGAGCTTCCCTATGAGGCTGTTATGGGAGACCGTGTCAAAAGCCTTGCTGAAGTCGAAGTAGACAACATCCACTGCTCTCCCCTCATCTACTCAGCCAGTTATGCCAGCGTAGAAAGTTATCAGATTGGTCAAGCATGATTTCCCTTTGGCTGACTACTTGTTTCCTCATGTTGACTACTCCTGATAACCTTCTTTTCCTTCACTAGCTTAATGATGACCTCTAGAACGACTTGCTCCATCACCTTTCCCAGGATGGAGGTGAGGCTGACCGGCCTGTAGTTCCCTGGGTCTTCCTTCTTGCCCTTTTGAAGCCTGGACTGACACTGGCTTTTCTCCAGTCCTCAGGCACCTCTCCTGTCCTCCAGGACCTTTCAAAGATGATGGAGAGTGGCTCAGCAATGACATCTGCCAGCTCCCTCAGCATTCCTGTTTGCATTCCATCGGGGCCCATGGATTTGTAGGTGTCCAGATTGCTTAAGTGATCTCTCACACAGTGCTCCTTGACCAAGGGAAGGTCATCCTTTCGCCAGGCATCCTCTCTTACCTTCATGGCCTGGGATTCCTGAGGGCCAGCCTTAGCATTGAAGACTGAAGCAAAGAAGTCATTCAGTAACTCTGCCTTCTCTGCATCCCCCATCACTGAGACACCCACCTCGTTCAGCAGCGGCCCCACATTATCGCTAGTCTTCCCTTTGCTGCTGATGTACTTGAAGAAGCTTTTCTTGTTGTCCTTGACATCCCTTGCCAGATTCACTTCCAGATGGACCTTAGCCTTCCTCGTTGCATCCCTGCATGCTTTGACAACAGTCATGTACTCTTCCCAAGTGGCCTGTCCATCTTTCCACAGGATGAGTGCTTTGGTATTCAGTCCCCAGGAACTTCATGCCCCACATTTGAATCTCTGTCTGAGTGCCCAACAACTGCCCCTGGGAGGCGAAGGAAATCAAATTCAACACTGCACCCAAAAAAGCCTGCTCCTGTCCCACAGGTGTGTCCAGTATAGATCTTCTTTCCGATAAAGGCTGTATACACTGGGTATATTTTCAAAGCCGATCACCCCTGCCAAATATTTGACTGCCTGATCTAAGGTCCAGCTGGAACACAGTGCAGCCAAGACTTACCTCCTCTCTGTTACTGACCTTTGCTTACATCATTGCCATGGAGCTCTGCTGGGAGAGCTCGGCCAGGGCTGCTTCCATTCTTCATGGAGCTGCTTCTGAGCTCAGAGTCTACTGCAGTTGAGGGCAAACCTCACTGGTTTCTCATAAGGTAACGGGCACTGTGGACAAGCAAAGGGCAGAGGATGTGTGTACCTGGAGGTTAGCAGTGACTTTGACAGCCTCCCTCAGACTTGCTTTATAACCAAATTGGAGACGAACGGGTTCATTAAGTGGGTGCTAAGGTGGCTGGAAAATTGGCTGGACTACCAGGCTCAAAGAGTTGTGCCAAGTGGTGCAAAGCCCAAGACACTTACTAGTGGGGTATCTCAGGGATCAGCAGTAGGACCAAAAGTCAGTTATGTTTTCATGAACACCATGTTTAATGGGAAGGGTGGCACTTCCTGCAAGTTTGGAGATGACACCCAGCCACTGACAGGGAATAGACGGCACACTGATCTCCATTAGCCAAGATGTTCCCAGAAGGTCTGGGAGCCACCTGTCCATAGTAAACCGAGAAGATGGACTAGGCTATGGGAGTACTCTGCGACAGGAGTAGAGGCAATGAACAGCTGTTGCAAAATGGGGAGTGCTAGTTAAGCAACTGGCCAAAAAATAACCAATGAAAAAAGGAATGTGTTTCCCGTCGAGGCTGTGCAGTCACCATCCTGAGAGGTGTTCACGGCTGGATTGGATGTGACTTTGGGCAATTTGATCGAATGGGATCTATTCTGAGAAGGGGGGGTGATCTAGATGACCTCAGGAGGTCCCTGCTCACCTACATTCTGCCTCTGTCATTCCGACTTCTATCCCCTACCCTGCCTGATGCCTGCACACCCATGGGCGCATTTGTTCTCACACCTCATTTACCACAACACAGCTTTTAGACATTGTGCTGGGACCACACGCAGGCAGCTGAAGGCTCTCAGCCTCACTGCCATCCGCAGGGAATCAGCAGCTGCTGCTGTTTCCAGCCCCTGAGCTCAGGCACAGCTCGGGGGAGCC